GGGAGGCCCTCAAATATATTTTTCTGGCCCTTTCTCTTCTTCTGGAACCCCTTTAATGTGAATAATATTTCTTTTGATGTTTCCCAGAGGTCTCTGAGGGTGTCTTTTTTTTTTCCAATTCTTTGTCATTTTGCTGCTTTGTCTAGGTGATTTTTATTACGTTTTTTCCCCCCAACTCACTTAATTTGTTGCTGAGTTATCCAGTTTACTCTTGAACACATTTATTGCATTTTTTAGTTCTATTATTATATTCTTCAATTCTATGACTTCTGTCTGGAGGTTCCTTAATTTTTCTGGTTTACCCATTTTTCTCCCAAAATCACTGGTTAACTATTATTTTGAAATCTTCCTCAAGTAGTTGCTTATCTCTGTTTCTTTAGGCTCTTTTTCCAGATTTGTTTGGCTATTTCATTTAGGGTACTTCTAGGCCCTATTTTTTCCTTATTCTCTGGGTTCACTTCTGTGTTCTAGGTGACACTACTACCTCCTCTAGCACTGAGGGCTTCATCTTTTTTTTATAAAGAGTTTTTATTTTATTTATTCATACAAGAACTGGGGTATAGGCCAGAGGTGCAGGGGGTGAGAGGATTCACCAGAGACAGAGTGGGGAGCAGAACAGGCAGACTGACTGAAATACACTGCTGAGGGGAGTTAGTGGGTGAGCAAGGAGAGGTCTGCTGCACCATGTGGGTAGCTCCCTGGCCAGGGATCAAACTCATGTGCAGTGGCTGCAGTTAGCTTCATAGGTTGCGTCTTAACCCCTTGCACCACCAGGGAGACCCTCTTTACCATACTCTTAGAAATGAATTTATGTAGGGAGCCCTGGCATCCCTGAAGAACTCTGACACCACTGTTCTCTAGCAATCAGACCTCGTAGTGGGAACCACTGATAGGAAAAACCTAAGCACAATGGGAGTAGTTACAAGGGGGTGTTCAGGGGCCAAGGTGAAACTCAAATGTCAAAGGCAAGGTGGGCATGGTTACTTTACTAGACAGCAGAGTCAAAGGAGTAATGACTTGTGCAGAACTATAGCATTGGCTAGTTAATCATGGCATTCCTAGAAATTAAACAGGGAGTCTATTAAATTTTCACTTGATGCATATAAGCAGAAAAACTCTAGGTCAGGTCAAAAAAATCTAATTTAAATCATAAAAACCAAGAATCGTGGCCCCTCAGTTTGCAGGCATGAGCCAATTTACAGGCCAGAACTTTTTAAATGAAGGGGAGACTGGACTTCTGTGCACTACCCAAAAATTATACTGTTAACCTTTCTCTTTGCCTTCTCAAAGACATAGGTTTTACAATGATAACTGTGCACTGGGGAAAAGGAAATAATCAGATGTTTTGGGGATCACTGGACAATGGGTCTGAAATGACACTAATTCCAGGTGACCTGAAACACCACTGTGGCCCTTGAATCAGAGTAGGGACTTGTGGAGGTTAGAATATGAATGGATTTTTGCCCAGGTCCATCTTGCAGTGGGTCCAGTGAGTCTCTGAACCAATCCTATGGTTATTTCCCCAGTTCCCAAATTCATAACTTGAACAGGCATATTTAACAACTGGCAAAAACCCCATACTGGTTTTGGAATGATAGGAAAGGCCAAGGAAAAATCATTAAAAACAGTCTTTACCTAGAAAAATGGTAAATGAAGAAATTTCACATCCCTGGAGGACTTAAAGGGGTTAGTGTCTCCATTAAGCACTTGAAAGATGCAGTGGTGGTGATTCCCACACACCCCAATTCTACTCTCCTATTTGACCTGTGCAAAATGCAGGTGGATTTTGGAGCATTACAGTGGATTATGATGAATTTAAACAGGTGATGGCCACAACTGCAGCTGCTGCCCTCAGACATTGACACTCCTGGCTTCTGAGCCTTTGGACCCAGACTTACAGCATCAGCTCCCCTGTTTTTCAGGCCGTTGGACTCAGACTGAATTACACCACTGGCTTCCCTGACTCTCTGTTTAACAGATGGTAGATCATGGGTCTTGTCAGGCTCCCTGATCATGTGAGTCAATCCCCAGAATAAGTCTCCTCTTATCTGTGTTTTTAGCTATAGATTTTTCTATATCTATGTCTACATCCTATTTTTCCATTTCCTTGGAGAATATGCACTATAATGTAAATATAATAATACTACGTTTGGAAATCTATACCAAGTAAATTATCCCAAAGACAGAGAATCCTGTATGAAAGAAAATGTTCATTATAGCTTTAACACAAGTAAGCACAGGGACATTTTGAAAGTTTGACTATGAATCCATTTGTTAGCTTGTGTTCTAAAGATATCAAAACACACACATACCACACACACACACACACACACACACACACTCAGACACACAGAGTTCCCAAACTAAAATCTGAGACCAGAAATGAGAATCTTATGTTCTATGAACTGTGAAACTTAAATTTATCAGTAATAGTCAAAATTTGTCTAAATCTAAAGATCAACATTTATGCAATTCAACCATAGACCTATTTCTAGCATATCTGCTAAGATACCTGGTTCTCTAGGGCAATGGATGTGCTCAAAATATATTAATAGTTGGCTCCTTCAGGACCAAACAGATTTGTTTGTGATTTCATCCACAGTTATTGACTCTCAACAACCAAAACCCCTGCAATTTCCTGAGTGATAAGAGCAATAGGAACATCTTTTATTATAATATTCATTCTCTTGCCCTCAGTTCCTAAAAATGCTTCAGTGAGTCTTAAAGGTGAAATGAATATTTTTTAATTTAAATATTTTATTTTATATAATTCTTACATCATTTTTCATTTTTGCACAATGTATGCATTTTCACTTTGGTTATATTCCCCATACAATTGCACCCCCCCTCCTTATTTTGACTCTAGTCCTTCCTTTCCCCGCTCCTTCTTCCCCCCCGAAATGAATATCTTGTTATTACCTTGTTTTAACAAGACCCTTTCAATAACTGAGTTTATGTTATGGTGTTTTGGAAAACATCAAAAGATGGTCGCTGGTTACGAGGGGTAATCAACCTTGCCTAGCTTGTTGGGGCTTTCAGAGACACCCTCTGGGGTACGGAAAGAGGGCTAGTGGGTGAATAAATCACCAACAGCTAATGATTTAATCAATCAAGTCTGTCTAATGATATCTCCATAAAAACCCCAAAAAAGGGAGTTCAGAAGTCTAGGATGATGAACCAAAATGCCTTCCACATGCCACAATGACCTGGACCTATATAACTCTTCATCTGGCTGTTGGTTTGTATGCTTTAATATCCTTTGTAATAAACTGGTAAACGAGCGAGTAAAAGATTTCCTGAGATCTCTGAGCTGCTTTATCAAGTTAATCAAGCCCAAAGATGGGGTAGAGGGGGCCTTTCATTTATAGCCAATTGGTCTTAAGCACAGGTGACAGTCTGGGTTTGACTTCTGAAGCAGTGGGTGGTCCTGTGGGACGAGGCCCTTAGTGTATAAAATGTGATGGTATTTCCAGGTGGACTGAGTCAGAATTAATAGATAAGTTGAATTGTAGGACACCTGGCTGGTAGCTCAAGAATTTCTTTGTGGTGTGATGGTAAACCACCCCCATACACCCACAATGGAACTGGTTTCCAGAATCACAATAGCTATTTAGCCAAATCTCCTCAAAATACATTACATACTTGCCCTGCACTCCAAGAATAATTTAGAATATTTTTAATTTTAATCTTCTTTGATAAGAATGTTAAATCCATTCAATCTACTGTTTGCTTCTTCAAATTATGTTTTCAGAAGCACATGTTAGGATTATTTATGAAAATCAGTGCAAAGCAAGAGTTAGAGACTTACATTAGGACTGAAATGGCTTTCTGAATGATATTCACAAGCTTTAAAGAGTGATTTTGGTACATCCATTTTCCTTTTCCTTCCTACTTGGAACTCAAGGTCTCATAGAAGATCAGTAACTTAGGGAACAATTTCAGCAAACCTTGTAGTGAACAGATCCTGGGGAAGATAAGTATAACCAGAGCGAACTTTCTGAACCAGTGTTGGCACTGACCGCATTTCTTGTATCATACTTACAGAGCTATTCTTTACATCAGAAAATACTGATTGTAGGAGTGCATCTATTTGTGATAATTTAATTGATGTTTGCATTCCCTACTAGGCTATAAACCCCATGAAAGTGGGAGCCATGACTGGATTTATTCACCATTACATTCCCTGAAACGAGTGTAGCGGGTGCCCAAAAATTTGGTCATGATTAACTGAAGGAACACGTAGCATAGCCAGAGCCTTCATTTCTGGTTCTATTGATGCTGTCTTATGTGACCTTTGCTAGAACTTCATACAGTCTCTGATTCTCAGGTATCACATTGGGGAGCAGTTTTTCAACAAGGTAGTCACAAAATGCTTTCCACTTTAGACTTCAAATTGATTTAAATGCCAGGAATGTCAGATTAGAACTGATGCAGTAAAGAACTGATGCAGGAATGCTGCGGCAGAGGTGTTCTACTAAGCATCTCCAGGAAGTCCCAGGAATGACTCCTGAAGAAATGTGAACTTTATGGCCATAAGGTCTTTGGAAAAATTGTGAAAGGAAAGACATTTCTAATTAAACCCTGCTTGCTCTTCTACATCCCTTTACTGAAACCAATAGAGTTCTACCATTGACACTACCTTGACATTTATTTTCTGCCACTCTTAGGAAATGCAGCTGTGAGGATCTATAATGGAATGCACAAAGGAGGCAAATTTGTGCTGGTTGCATCTCTCTGTGCCAGGGAAGGACAGTTAGACTAACATCGATGGCTCAGGTCAGGACCAAAGCTATTTAAGAACTGGCAGAGAGCCCTTAAGACACTTTGTCACCTGACACTGACCCTCAGAATGAGTCTTGTAGGGACAGTTCCCAAAGTCCAAGAGACTATTGCTCCAACACAGTAACCATTTGTCCTTTGTTGAAAACATTACTGTCTTGTACATAGGAATATCAGACCCACATACTGGCTTTCACATTTCTCCAGGAAAACATTCCAACCTGCATAATGAAGACAGGATCCTTCCCACGAAACAGTGAAGTCCTTCATTTCCTGTTCCACCAACATCCCTGTCATAATAAAATCCATAGACAAATATTATTGTTTCCTATCACTCTAGGGGTAATACAAGCAGGAGGAACATAGGGAGCTATATCTCTTCGCAGAGCACTGAGAGAACATATCAAATAGTTACAGAGAAGGATCTGTGTTCTGAGAGACTTTCACTGAGTCCTAAGAATCCCACTAACACCGTGCCCAAGGGCAGGGAGGTGGAGGAGGCAGGCTGCTGACACCAACCAACGTAGCTAGGAGCATAAGGCAAAAGAAAAATCAACAATACTGATCTTGGTTTATTAAAATGTTCATGTCTTGGGCCTCCCCTGGGGGCACAGAGGTTGAGCTCTGGGCTGCGAAGCTGCCTGCAGCCTCTGCAACGCCAGTTCAATCCCCGGCCACTGGTGAGGATCCCACATGGAGCGACAGACCTTTCCTGCCTCCGCTGCTCCCCTCAGCGGTGCACTTCGTCAGTCGGCCTGTTCTGTTCCCCGCTCTGGCTCTGGTGAATTCTCTCACCCCCCACACCTGTGACCTGTACCCCAGCTCCTGTATGCATAAATAAATAAATCTTTAAAAATAAAGTAAGCAGATTGATTCCTAAAAATACAATCTTGGAAGGAGGGGGAGGCCGGGGACCTCAGAGGGGTAAGATCTGCCTAACCCGCCATTTGTCAACCCCTTCCAACAGGGCCTTGGGCTTGGTGCCCAGCCAGGTTGGCGCTTCCCTACAGCTGAGCCCAGCCCTAAAAGAGGGCAACCGCCTCGTCCCGGGGGCTGAACCCACGCCAGGCGTCAGTTCCCTGGTGGCCCAGAGCCCAGCGCCCAGCCAAGGGCCGAGGAACAGGGCGGGAGCTCGGGGCAGCCGCCGGAGAGCAGAGCGTTGGGGTCGGGGCCCCTCCAGGTCGCCGGCCACGCGGGCCCCTGGCGGGGCTGCAGCCTCTCCCCGGCGCTGTCCGCGCGGGTGGCCCGGCGGCTTAGGCAGATGCGCCCGGGGCGTCCCCGGGCGGTCGGGGCTGCCACTTGTCGGCAGCATCTACTCGCGGCCGCCTCAGCTGAGCTCCCCCATGTCTGCACGAAAAAGCAGAGCCAGGGGTGCGGCGAGGGCAGCCCGGCGGGCCACAGGCAGGGAGGCCCGGCCTGTCCGGGGGGCGCAGACGACCCGCCCGGGCTCGAGCGGCGAGGACGCCCCTCCCTGCGCCGCGGTCTGCGGGAAACCGGCCCCCCAGGCTTCGAGAAGGCCCAGACGCGCGCCCCAGGGGAATGGCCCTGCCCCCAGCCCCCTCCCCGCCCCAGCCCGGAGCCCCACGCCCAGACCCGCCGCCTCCAGGGGCATCAGGAGGGCAGGGCCCGACGCCCAAGAGCGCCCCAGTGAACCATCGGAGTAGCAACTGGTGAAAGTTTATTGTGCATACACCAGAAACACAGTTTGCAAACCTAAGTCACTCAAACCAAACCATGGACTGAAGTTCAGGAATGTAGTGCTATAAAGCAACTTTTATAATAAGAAACATTCTCAGGGGGATTGGTTCTAACAGTAGAATTTTTAGTAGTTACCTCCTATCAGCCTTGGGAAACAATTTAAGTTTTGTTTATGTAGAAAGATTTGTAGGGGCAGGAAGGACACAGGGCAGGTTTTCTGATCCAGCAGACGACGGGGGTTAAGGGAAGAGAGTCCTGGAGACCTCTGTGGCTTTTGCAGGCTTTTATTGGGATCTACCAGGCACAGGGCAGGGAGGGGTGCTGGGGGGCCGGGAGGCTGGCAGGTCTCCCAGCCCCCAGCAAGTCTTCACTCTATGTGACTCTATCTGGTCTCTCTCTCATTCTCTCTCTCCTTCTTTTCTGCTTCTCTGCTTCTGCTGGCATCCCTGTGACGCTGCCCTTAAATGCCCAGTCTCAGCCCAGGTGAATCCCATCTACCTATGCCCACACCCTACTCCAGGTGCCCACCATCAGGCATGCATTCAGGGCAGCAAGTTTCAGTCATCTATCCTGATGGCGGGAGGGCAGAAAATCTTGATAAATTTACCTTACCCTATAGAGTGTCAACAAGAAATGACCCAGAGCAAGTTAATCTTACAAGTAAGTTAAACTTCCTTTGTCTACTAAACTGCATTTGTCTACTCAGGAAAATTTCAAGGCTGGTCTCCCTTCCTTGTTGATTTTAACAAAACAGAACCCAAAGGAAGAGGAGCACAGGACTTTCCCCCCAAAGAATACAGTTGGAAAAGGGAGAGGGAGTAGGGAAAATAACTTCAAAGTAGAGAAATTAAGCATCAGGGAAATGCAAATCAAAACCACAATGAGATATTGCTTCGCACCTGTGAGAATGGCCGATATCAAAAAGACCAAGGACAAGTTTAGGTGAGGATTTGGAGAAAAGGAAAACTTATATACTGTTGGTGAGAATTTAGACTAGTCCACCCCATATGGGAATCAGTGTGGAGGTTTCTCCAAGTATTAAAGTAAATTTACCACATGAGCCAGTAATTCCACTGATACTGGAATTGTCAGGCCTAGTCTCCCAGCCAGGAAGGGATTCCAGGCTGCAGGGGCAGCGCTGAGTCCCGGCCACTAGACCCCCACGGGTTGGTGTCTCACGAAGCTGCAGCAGGAACTTCGCAGACGCTCAGGCAAGCAAGTGAGAAGAGGCAGGTTTGTTTAGAGAAAGAAAAAGTTTATTGAGGAGAAAAAGAGCAGAAATAAAGTGGGACTCCCAGGCCAGGGAACCAGGCCTGGGAGGGGCAAGGAAGCCAAAGTGGAGTCGTGTCTCAGGGAATATAGACCTTTTTTCCCTCATTATTCTAAAACTCCACCAGTCTCTTTGTGATTGGTTAGTTCTCGGCTGTCTCACTTAATTTGCTACTGAGTGGGGGATCTTCACATTCCTTATCTAACAGGTTTCTCTTTCCCCATTTGTTGCATCTTTATCTTTATGGCCCAGTCCTCTGGATGGGCATCCCTGCATTGAAGTTAAACAGCTGCCCTTCTAAGTTGTCCATAAATTAAACCACTCTCCATTTCTCCAATCTCCGCCTCCCTTTACCACCTGAAGGAAACCAGGACCACCGTTAACAATGTTGTCCTTGGTCCTGGGATGTTTGTTTTTCCTAGTGGAATTGGTTACTTTCCCTTGGTTGTCCTCATCTCTGAAGCCTCCCTAAATTCTTCAGAGGTCCCCTCCTGCACTGTCCCTAAAACTGCCTAATTTCTAGCTTGCCCTGTGTCTCACCACAGTTACCCAAAGTTGCAAAAACACTAATTTGAAGGGATCTAGGCACTCCTATTTTCATTGTAGCCATATTTACTATAACCAAGTTATGGAAACAACCTAGATGCAGCAATGATATAGTAACCGTAGTAACAATAAAGTAACTGTAGTATGGAATATTACTCAGCTACCAAAAAAAAAAAAAAAAACTAAAACCAGGACTCTTGCCATTTGTGGCAACATGGATAGATCTGGAGGGGATGGTGCTAAACGAAATATAACAAAATGAGAAAGACAAATACAGATGGTTTCCCTTATATGAGGAATATAGGGAAACAAAATAAAGAAACAGTCAAAACTAAACCAAAACAAATCCTGGAAATCTGACTGTACAACTGAGGTTACCAGAGGGGGGATTCAATGGCAGGGGAGGAGGGGGGAGGGTGCACAACAGGAGATTGTGGAGGATTATGGGTGCTTTGGTGGTGGATGTGTTTGGGTAATATATTTGAAGAGGTGTGAACCTGTAACAGGGTGTCCCCAGGAAAGGGGGATGTTCCAAGCTTCCGGCCCCACCCAAGGGAGGGTGGAGCTGAGCAGGGAGAGAAGAAGCTGCGGAGGAAACTGAGAAGGAAGGAAGCAGGAAGGAGCCAGAAGGAGACCTGGAGGAGGCACGTGGAGCCGAGAGACACGTAAAGAAACTGCTCTTGCCTTTTGGTCGTGGACAGGGTGACACAGATGTGGGTGAGACCCGTGGGGAGGTGACAGTGGCGGTTTTTGTCTTGATTTTGATTTTGCTCTTTTCCTTCCAGACTTGCCTGGTGGTTTCTGATCCTTTTCTGTGGGTCCTCACTGGAAGGTGTTTAGGCTTTGGGGCCTTGCTCCGGGTCAGTCCTGCTTGGGTGGACTTTTACCCACGAGGGGACGGGTAACTTTGGGGGCTTGATTTAGAAATTATATTCTTTGCCTTCCCTGTATTGTTTCCTAATTGTATTAAAGTTCCTTCCCATTAAAGTTTCATATGTTGTGTGTTGATGCAGCGGGTGACAAAACCTGTTTAGAGCAGATAGGTTTGTGGAGTCTGGGTTGCCCCTGTCCCTGCCCTGTAACAGACCTATAGCTGTAAATCATACACATTGTTGTAAATCAATATTGCCTTGATAAAAAATAGTACAAAAAATAATAATGAAACAAGAATGAAGGATTTGTCTCTCTGTCCCACCAGATAAGATCTCCCATTTCCTTTATTTACTCTCTATACTTAACAAACTTTGCTTTCTTTCTTTTCTTTTTTTTTTTTTTAAGATTTATTTATTTATGCACACAACAGCTGGGATACAGGACAGAGATGCGGGGCATTGCGGGGCGTGGGGGGGTAGGTAAAGGATTCACCAGAGACAGAGCGGGAAACAGAACAGGCAGATCAACTGAAATACACTGCCGAGGGGAGCAGCGGGCGAGACAGGAGAGGTCTGCGGCACCATGTGGGTTTGCTCCCTGGCCAGCCGGGGATCGAACTCATGCTGCAGAGGCTGCAGATTTCTTCACAGTGCGGTGCTTAACCCCTTGTGCCACCAGGGAGGCCCAAACTTTGTTTTCTTACATTCTGAGGAAAAAGAGCATCACAAGGAAGATAACATCTGAATTGCTGACCACCGGGTGATAGTGAAAGCAAGCTGGCCTCAAGTGAAACCTCCAGAAACTTGAAAGGATGGACATGCTGACTTTGCCCACCCCCCCTTCTACTCCCTTGTAATTCTGGATAAATACTCCTGCGCTCTGCCAAAGAGTGGATGGTGTTCTTTCAGGCACAAGT